CACCAACAAAAAATAATGTTGTGTGACTGATTTAACTTTGTATGTGTATATGTGTGTGTTTGTGTGGTGGGTTCTGGGGATGGAACACAGGACTTCACAAACGCTAGGCAAGTACTCTATTACTGAGGCACCTCCAACCCCTCCATGACTGATTTTTACAAAATTACAAGCAATTCTCTCTCTCTCTCTCTCTCTGTGCCCCTCCCCTCTCACTCTCATATATATTGAGCTGCTAATGGTATGAGTTTTCACCTGAGTTATACTTCAATATCTGACTCCCTCTGGTGCCTTCCAATTGCCCCATATGTCTTCTCTCCCCTACCTTTCACCTTTGCAGACGTGAGCTGGACCTGTGGTTTTCAAACACCAGCCCAAGAACTGATGTGTCTATGCTAAAGTTGTCTCCAGTCCATAAAGCACTGAGAAAAAGGTCAGTATGGTGAGTTTCCCATTAAGCTTAATCTATTGAATTTTTAAACTTGGAGATTATATCCTTTCTAATAATAGGAGATAACATTTTTCAAATGTGCTTAAATTATAATAAAAATTGGCAATCCCTTCCAATTTTCAGCCTTTTTGTAAATGATCCGTGAAATTCCAAAGAGCACAAACTGTCAGGGAGAGAGGACTCAGGCCTGGGGAGGTGAAGAGAGTATCACCACAGGTTACTGCAAAGGTATGTAATAGGCTTCTTTTGGTTCCAAATCAGGGCACCCTGTTAACCTCCAACTCAGCCTGTCACCACCAGATCCAATTACCTTTTAATGGCGCCCACCAACCTCACTCCCCAACTGCTAATCACTTTTCTTATTTCATGAATCAAATTTAGCAGCCTGCTAAGCTTGGCCAAGGTTTCCAGATCATACCTTAACAAGAGTCCATGGCAACAGAAGGATTTTGGCAATTTACTTCATTAAGTGATAATAATAAAATAACATGCTTAATAAATTATAGTTTGTCCATATGGTTTTAGTTTGTCAAAGAGGTATGTGAGAATGATTTTCTGGCAGGTTGTGTATCTCTCTGTATATCTACAAGTAAAACAAAAGCCAGAGCTGGGCTCTGCCAATCCATGAGCCCACAGCTAGTGGGCGGAGAGTGGGGAGCATCCCAAGTCAAATAAATGCCATGTGCAATCTGAGAAATGACTGTCACTTGTTCCCATCTTGCTTTCACATTCACTTGCAACTCACAGGCTTCTGTGGAGTACATGGTGGATATAGAGAAGGCTACTATATAAGTCTCTTTGTTGTATACTAGTCTTCAGATTTGTACCCAAAAAAGGCTGAAAAGCATCTCAGCACATAGCAAAGGTAGAAGCACTCAAGCCATTGGGATGGGTAAAGATTGTGAAGGTCCTATTCACAGAGAGGCAGATGACCAAAATACAAGGGGAATATACATCATCTTGGCACACAAGTGAGCTTTTCTGGGGCTGGCTGCAAGTCCACATGGCTACTAGGCACTATATAATTTATTAAGTATACTATTTTATTATTATCACTTTATGAAGCAAATTGTCAAAATCCTCTTCTAGCCATATTAAGGCATGATCTAGAAACTTTAGACAAGGTTAGAGGCCTGCTAACTTTGGTTCATCAGCCAAGAGCCATCTTAACTGATGCTCCCCACACCTCATGTATCCCTCCATCCCTCCCCAGATGATTATACTCCTCATTATAGGCTAACAGGTGGAGGTGGCTTGGGCAGGATGCACTGTTCATACTCTCGTGTTTTAGAATAATTCACACCACCAAATATATCACCCTAATGAGGTTAGGCAACATTTGTTATGGTCTCCCCACTATGATTTGTTTGACCTCTCCCTGTGTTTCTATAGTCTTCATGAGACATTTCTTACTGGCATAACCAAAGTTTATTGCTTTTATACTCATCTGATGTGATGGGATAAAAGATGTTTATGGAACCCCCCATAACTAAGCACAGTCCCCAAGATGGACTACTAAGACTAAGACTGCCCTGTTGGGGGTATATAGGTGGAGTGAGTTCCTGGATTCTGATGAAAACCAACATCTCTGACTGTAAAGGTCTGTAAGTGGAGATGCTCGGTTTGTAACCAGGATCAAGCCCTTTATTTTTATTTATTTACTTTTTGGTACCAGGGATTGAACTCAGAGGTGCTTCACCACTGAGCCATGTCACCAGCCCCTTTTATATTTTATTTAGAAACAGGGTCTCACTGATTTGCTTAGTGCCTTACTAAATTGCCAAGGCTGGCTTTGAACGCATGATCCTCCTGCCTCAGCCTTCCAAACTGCTGGGATTACAAGTGTGTGCCACCATGAGGGCTGAATTGGGCCCCTTAAAGAACCCAGAAAGATGAGGCTTCCACATGGGCCCATTTCCTGTATGATTGAAAGACACCTTTTGAAATGAGTGTTGGTGGCCAGCTTGATCTGTTTAATTACTTAGGGGAATACCTACAATGACACCCCTGAGGGGTGGGAACCAAGGAAGGCTCAAGGCACAGCTGGGAGCGGGTCAGGCCTAGCAGCTCTTTTTAATTAAGTCAGTCTCCATAGGCATCAGGAGGGAACAAAAATGTGAGGGTTAACAAGCAATCAATCAGCAGTGCTGCCTGTTTTGCTTCCATGAAATAGTGCCTGATGCTCAACACGATCTCTTTTCTTTTCGCCACATTAGAGAAATGCAGAGAGCTTCTCAAATATTGCTGATGGAAATTTAAGTTTGATTGTGACTTACGTCCCTTAATAGGAGATAGAACTGCATATATCCACACATGCACACCCCACACTGTCACATGCAGACTTGTACAACAGCAGCAAATGCATCTGCCATTTCTTGGCTTGGGTAATGCTAACCACATCTTTGGTCCCAAAGGCCATGTTTGGATGTCACTGGAAAGGAGACAGTTTCTGTAAAAGCGAGCCGTGACTGCATCTCAAATATAAGTTCTCCTGTCTGAGTAATTATCCCCAAGAAAGCAGGGAGGTGTTCACGCACATGCTTAGCCAGTAGTCTATCTGGAACTCTGCACATGCCACTCATGGGGTTCTTTACATCAGGTTACATTATGTTCTACAAAATCTGAGAAATTGCTCAACAACCTGAAATGCTGCAAAGATCAATAACTGGCTGTCTAGCTCCAAAAGGAGAAGTTTAATATAAACTTTTCTAATGTAATATTATTACATAAGCAGGGCAGAAAAACCAACAATCCAAATCAGGGGATCTAAGACATCGCTCAAAATCTGCCCAAGAAACCCCTAGGGATGATTTCTTATAGTAAAAGGTAGAAATTGCACAATAAGAATTTAACCCCCCTATTTTTGCAGATTTGGTATCATGGTAACAAAAATTTTCTGTTAATGGTTACAATTAAATTGCTTTATATATGTCCTGTAGAGCTTTACTATAGAGAATATAGATTTAGAATATAGCATTGGTGACATTTTATTTTTTGTTCTTTTACATCCACTTAAACACCAGCTATCGAACCATTGGAGAATATGTAACCTCAAATACAATGCTCTGTATGGAAACCAAGTTCAAATCCTATCACTGGCTTGGTGCGTGGCCTACACCTGTAATCCCAGCGGCTCGGGAGGCTGATGCATGATCTTGAGTTCAAAGCTAGCCTCAGTAGTAAAAGCGAGGGGCTAAGCAACTCAGTGAGACCCTGTCTCTAAATAAAATACAAATTAGGGCTGGGGATATGACTCAGTGGTTGAGTGTCCCCGAGTTCAATCCCTGGTATCCCTCCAAAAAAATCATATTGCTGTTTCTAGGGCAAGTAACTTGCCACAAGCTTGCGGAAGAGCTCTCTCTCCAAGGTCATGGCTTTGTCCTTGGTTGAGTGAATTACTTGTTTAAGTGAATTACTTCAAATATATTTACTCTTTTGTACATTAAATCACTAGTTTCCAAAAGCTCTGAAATTATTTTCAAAGTAGGTTTTATATAGATTCTCAGGAAATCGTACAGTCAACTCCAGGGAACACAAGGCTGTACTTGGAGTGTGTGTGTGTGTGGGGGGGGGACAGCTCAGATAGTCCCAATTTACCATCAGCTTCTTGACACAGACCAGGATTTCTTGATCTCTGTGCTATCCATATTTGGGGCAGGGTCATTCTTTGTTGCTTATGGGGTTGCCCTGTGCACTGTAAGATGTTTAGTAGTGTTCCTGTCCTCTACCTACTACAAACCAGTAGCCATCCCTACCCCCATGATATAATAACCAAAAATGTCGCAAAATATCCCTTTTAAGGGAGCAGTTGAGAACTGCTGATATAGATTAACCTCTTGCACTGAAGTTTGGACCTAGGTTCAACCCCCCAACTCTGCTTCTTACTAGCTGGTTAACCTTGCCCAAGTTACCTGGCTTTCTTTATTCCTGCACATTTACTCCGAAAACACAAGTCATTATACCACTCCCTCACAGGGCTGTGGTGAATGAGATAAATGTGCCAAACATCTTTCCTTCCTCTTGCTTGTTCCACTGCATTAATTCAACACTAGAAAATATGAAGGCTGGGAGAGGGGAAACAAAAACAGAGGATCTTCTCTCCATTGCACTGGAGCAATGATTCTAGTGCCAGGCTATCAGACACATAGCTACATCCCTCAGAGGTAACCATCTATAGCTGTACCTCAAAGGGGACTCAAAGATTTTAAAGGCATGCTCTTCCCCCTAATATGTTTAGAAAACACCCAGAAGGTTTTAGGAAAACCTTCTGAACACTGGGATTGTTCTGTCACCACAGCTGTAATCAGCTACATATCAACATCCAGGTGGGCTTCCATTTAAGAAAACCATGTAAAGTAATACACAAAGCTCTAGGGACTTATTTTCATCCTCAAATGATTCCTCTACAGGTTTTTGAAGAGCTTTCTTAACATATGTAAAATATAATTCTATGTATAAAGAACTGGTTTACACACAACTCAGAAACACCAATATAGCAGCTATTAGTCACAAATATGTTTGTGAAGTGGGGCAGAAGCACCCTTTTTTAAAAAAATAATAAACATGATTTTATTTGTATCAGAACTTTTAAAATGTGAATATTCTGTGATTCAGCCACAGTCTTTACTTCCAGGTAACTTCTTCATTGAGCCTCAATTCCCTTCTACACAACATATTCTTGTTGCGGAAGGTAGACAGTTTTTCATCATTCTTTCTGTCTAAATAACATCCAACAACAAATCCCACAGGGACGAGTACATGAACCCAGTGGTCACGCACAATCTGAAGTAAGTTCACCATGACTGCTGCGGCCCTGGAGCCAATAAACGACACCAAAGATCAAGGGCAGAAGCAGCCCAGAAGGATCCTTTTAACCCCATACATACAGATGAATGCTGTCTATTTATTTATTTATTTACATTGGGACCTTAATGTGTTAGGAAAATTTTAATGTTCCCTTTTTTCTTTTTAACAGTTTTACTGAGGTATAATTTATACCATAAAATTCACTCATCTTAAGTTAATATTTTTTAGTAAATTTATCATCACCACAATCTGATTTTAGAACCTTTACAATTGATTCCCAAATCAAGTGGCTATTAAAAGAATTCCGGGCTGGGGTTGTGGCTCAAGTGGTAGAGCGCTCGCCTAGCACGTGTGAGGCACTGGGTTCGATCCTCAGCACCACATAAAAATAAAAGCTATTGTATCCACCTAAAAAACTAAAAAATAAATATTTAAAAAATAATGATTCCTAGGGCATAAATACTTTTACACTTCCTGGTCCAAATGAACCATAGTCCCTAGGCATCCTTAAGAGATCTGAGGATAAGTTGCAGTTAGCCTTCATATCTTCTGAACCACATTCATGGCCCAAGTCTAACTTTTAAGGTAGCAACTCTTGGCCCCTAAATTGACTATGGTATAAACTGTGCTCTGTGAGTCAAGTTGAAGGCGAAGGGGAAACCTTCACCTTCCTCATAGAGGGGGTAGTGTCGACATAAAGAGATAGAAATGGGGCCAGGCATGGTGGCTCATGTGGCTGGAGCAATGATTCCAGTGCCAGGCTATCAGACACATAGCTACATCCCTCAGAGGCAGGAGGATTGTGAGTTCAAAGCCAGCCTCAGCAATTTAGTAAGGCCCTAAGTAACTCAGTGAGACCCTGTCTGTAAATAAGGAGGAATGAGAAGGACTTTCTCCAAGTCAATTAGTTGAAACTAGGTGGCTTACTTCACAGGCTGCTTCCCATCTGGAGGCCTGTTGCTATGTGTTCTAGAAGGAAAGGAATTGAAAATCTCTCTGTAGTATTGAAGTATAACAATAAATCCTGCCATGTGGTGGGAACTACAATATACGGCATAATAAAAGTAAATGTTATGGCACTTGACTCTGTGGCCTATAATCTCTCATTCAATCAGAACAGAGATTCTTCTATCAGCAAGAGAAAACTGGACAATTTAATTTTCTTTTCTATTCATGCACAGGCCTATGTTGGAGCTCTTCCATGTTTTCTATTATGTTACTTGAAATATGGCCGTGTAGTTTGATACAAACAATATCTCAAACTGACATCAACAACTTAGTTTTGGACCAATTGATTTCATTCTAAATTATTGCTGGCTGACAGATGCTGGTAGCTGCCCACATGAGATCTGAAAAAGCCATGTTCTCTAATTTAATATTACAATAATTTTAAATTTCAGCTTTATTAAGAGGAAACACAGATTTATTTATAGCTAACACTGACGGTTTCCAATGACTTTCAGGACTATATTATGCTATTCACTGCAACCCACATTTGGACAGCTTCAATTGTCCAAAGCACTAACAAAACATTCGGGTACAAATAACTTCCTCCTTGATTCAAAGCAATGAACAAATGCTACAAAAGCAGCCCAAGAGAGCCACCCCCTCTGCAGTGCCCTTTTCTCCTTGGTGGATCTACCTACAAAGAACATTTCTGCTGCTGAGCCTAAAGACATTCTGCTTAAAATCTGCTCCTCCTCTGGTCTCTGAGATGTTGCAAAATCTCACTTTTTTCCCTTAAAAATGGACTTTGCTAGGGTTTGATCTTGAGCCCTAAATTCATCTTCCCTTTTTATTCTTTATTTCTTTTTCTTTTTTTTTTTTTTTTGTACCAGGGATTGAACCTAGGGGTGCTTAACCACTGAGCTACATCCCTAGCCCTTTTTATATTTTGTTTTGAGACAGGGTCTCGTTAAGTTTCTTAGGGCCTCACTAAATTGCTGAGGTTGGCTTTGAACTCACAATCCTCTTGCCTCAGCCTCCCAAACTACTGGAATTACAGGCGTGCACTGCTATGCACAGCTTCATCACCTCCCCGCCTTTTTTGGGTACCAGGGATTAAACCCAGGGACACTCGACCACTGAGCTACATCCCCTGCCCTATTTTGTATTTTATTTAGAGACAGGTTCTCACTGAGTTGCTTAGTGCCTCCCTATTGCTGAGGCTGGCTTTGAATTCCTCCTGCCTCAGCCTCCCCAGCCGCTAGGATTACAGGCATGTGCCACTGCGCCTGCCTTTATCTTCCCCTTTCCTATGGTAAAGATTATCTTCTTCCTGACCCAGCAGCCACTTCTAAGCAAACAACATTAATAATAAGCATTTCTATTATGTGTGTTGTTTTTTTTTTTGGCAGCCCAACAAGTGATTTGCAGAATTCTGGAAGACAAGACAGACACAGGTAAGGAAGTAGAAGCTCAGAGAATCTGTAAATTAGAGAAGGGAATCTAGCCTGGAAATTGAAGAGTCAGTACTCAAACCCAGGTCTGCAGATGCCAATTCTGTAATGTTTGCTCCTGCCATAGCTTCCAGGGAACTCCTAATCTCTATCTGCAATCCCTGCCAGTCTTTAGAGCCCCAGACCTCTATTTTCAGACTCCGCCCAGCACTGATATGGGGATCTGTCCAAATCTCAAAGTAAACATGCTTAACTAAATCCATCAATTAAATGCCCCCTCCCAAACCAGCTCCTTTTGCTGACATGATCATTTCCACTCAGGTCATTGTTACCCCAGTCACTCAACCCTAAAAACCTCACAACTAACCTATCATTCTCTCTTCCTCCCTGCTCCCACATCCAAGTTGTTATTAAGGTCTAGCAATAATTCTCCTGTATTGCTGCTTTTACATCCTTTCTTTTGTCCCCAATCCTTTTGTGAGCAGCTTAATCTTGGCTTTATCTCTCACCTCAACTATCAAATAACCTGACTCCCTGACACCTACCTTTCTTTCCTCTAATTGGTCCCGCAAAGCTCTCTATCCTAATTTTTAGATGTGATCATGTCACTTCAGTGTCAACCATCAATGGCTCCCACTACAAAATAAACCACAAATCTATCCCCTATAAACACTATCTGGCTCCCACTTATATTTCCAGGTCAACTCTCCTCCTTCCCAGGACAAACACTACTGCAGCCAGGCTGGTTTAAACATAACTGTCAACACTTCCCATGTGACTTCCCTGCCCACCTTCTCCCCTGCCTAATAAAAATCCAACTTCAAGGAATGGATAAGTCCATCCTCTTTTATGGAGCCTATCCTAGCACACCAGTCCTGGGGAACATGCTTTCTTTTGATCAGCGTTACTTTCTACCACCCAGTCATCATTTGCTGCTTTAAGGGCTCAAGTAGATCTAATGCCAATAGAAGGCAGGGTCTATGTGAGAGCCTCAGTACCCAGGCAACCTTGCATTTAAGTAGGAGGTACTCAAGTATTTATTGGTTGATTATATAGTTGCCAATTATCATTCTGTGTGATGCAAATAATATATATACATTAAGTGGTTAATTTGAGGTATTATAGTCTTTGGGAACTAATGTTTTCTTGGCAAAAATGAAAGAACCAAACTTCAGCATCATTTTTCTGAGTTCCCAAATACATACATCTGGTGCTTAGTTTTCACAATATGAAAAGCTTCTATAGACTTACCCTTCCCACATCAATGCCTCCAACATTTCCAAACTAGCTGGTTAGACTGGAAAATATACTATTCATATTTGGACGCTAGCCTTGTTAGGTATCTCCAAACCCAAAGAAAACAAAGGTCAATGCTCCTCACAGGCAAGACATATGGCTCTGTATACTCTGGAGGTAGAATACCTCCCTTCTTGTGTTACGCCCCACCTGACCTTCACCAATGCCCCACCTGACCTTCCAGCATCATCTGTTTTGGCCACTCAACATTTAGAAACAGTTCAGCAGTTGGCTGAACTTTGCCCACCAGTCACTCTGGAGCCCAAACACTGACCCCAGTGGTAGAAATGGAACTTAATTTGGCTCACTTTGATGATTCTCTTTCATTCACAGATGATTGCTGCTCTGCTTTTCCCTGTCTTTTCACCAGATCAAATGCTACAGCAGGCCAGAGTTCCTGCTGTTATTGCATTAGCCCAAGCTATAAGGTTTTGCTGTCTGACTGGGCTTCTCAAAGGCTGGCTGAGGATGTAAACCAGCTTTTGGAAACAGGGCAAGTACTTTTGGTATTTACAGTCATGACCACACATCTGCCCGCAAGCCTTCAAGAGGTCAGGCCAGAGACTGCAGGTCAGCAGTTTGCAAAGATGCAATTCTATTAGCAGATTCATAAGAAAACAGCACCCAAACAGGGGATGAAAACCAGGCAAGAAGAACATTCACGTCAAGTATTCTAGTGCTCTTATAAGGCCTGCCAACTGGTGAACTGTTTCTAAATGTTGAGTGGCCAACACAGATGATGCTGGAAATGTATATTCCATGAAATGAAAAATCAATCCCTGATAGTGACTGCCAGAGGCTGGGGGTGGGGTGTGTGCAGGAGGGAGGTGGGTGTGGCCAGAAAAGAGCAATGTGAGGAATCCCAGCGGTGATACACTAAGCTACACATATGAAAAAAACTGCGGCAAACTCAACACACACACAGTTATTAGCAAAACAGGGCAATCTGAGTAAAATTGGCAGATTGCATCAACATCAATGACCTGTTGCAATATTATGCTATAGTTCTGGAAGAAATTACAATGCAGAGGTGGGACTGGGTAAAGGGAATACAGAGCTCTACCATTTCTTACATGTCTGAATCTATAATTACCTCACAATATAAAGTCAAATTAAAATAAGATAAAGTTCAAAATGTAGCCCTCTACAATATACAGAATATGAAAGAATGCTGACTTATGACCACAGTAGGTACAAATAAAAGATGTAAAGCTAAAAAAGTTTGATCCCTGAATCTGGATTTCCTAACAGAGCTATCATTCCGGTGAGACCACTAAGAGCCTCATATCTACCCAAGGATACCCCCAAATGAACCGC